GCGCTGGGACCGCTGGGCATCCCAAGAAGAAGGTGACATGGGGCTTCTGCCTCACACACAACCCACAGAAGTCAGCATTGGGTGCACTAAATGCAAAAGCGCCAAATAAAAAGCTTTAGAGGTTTACTTCAGGATTACCTATGGCCTATGGCTCAAGTAAGAACAATGGCAACTGGGTCAAATAAATCTTAGTAACTTCTACTTCCGCTTCTCCTGAGCTCAGACCCCACAGCTGCCTGGCCTGGGGCCTGTTTGCCTGGCATACGGTCCCAGACAGCCTGGGTGCTCAGGAAGCCAGAACACCACCCAAATTATACCCCAGTTACTCTTGGGTCTCCCACAGACAGACCTGTCTGGTGGCTTTATGGCAGTCTATGCAACCCTGAGGATCGCTTCCCACCTTCCTGGGGGGACCACCCCTACCACTTCACGGCAGACAGGACTCCAGGAAAGCAGGGCCTCCGCCAAGGCCACGAGGTATCCTGAGGCCACCCCGCCAGCATCAGCCCCCTTTCTCTCTCAAGGGACCCAGTCCACGCCTGCCATCCACCCCCAGACTGACCAGCGTGGAGGCTGTGCCGGCCCCACATCACCGCCCTCTGGTCCGCAGAGCTCAGTGTGGCCCCAAGCCTNCTGGACTGGACAAGCAAGCCCATGGGTCAGTTAGGAAAACCACCACCCGATTAAAGCCACTCAGCAATAAACGGGTGAGGGCAGTGACCCAGGGGCTCCGGGGGGGCTGGTGTTTGCCCCATAGACATCTGAGAAGACGGCGCCTCCCCACAGGTTCAGCGGGTACAGTGAAACCACCAGGGCAGCCCGTGCCTCTCCCACCAATCAGAGTGCCCAGATACCATCGTCCACCTGCTCTGAGACCCCAGGGCTTGGGGCTGGTGTCCTCCATCCCTGGGGGAGTGCCTAGCCATCCCAGCCAGGCCTGCACCCAGCAGCCAGTGGTCCCATCCTTGGCACACAGCCGCAGCCCGACGCTCGACTCTCCACTCCTCCCCTCCCCAGATATATGCACACCGCTGGAGTAGGAGTGTCTTGAGACCAGAAGCAGGGCATGTCCAATGGCCGCATCTCATCTCCTCTCTTGCTGGCAGAGTCACGGTGCATCTTCACCCAGATGCCTCGAACCGGTGACAGGGTCCTTCCACTCACCACCTCTGCAGGCCCAAGGGCAGGGCGTGGCATGTGACTGCTGGCCCGGGGCCCAGTGGGGCGCTTGCTCACACTGCACCCCACATGTGCGACACCCACGTCTGCAGCTGCCTAGGAGGGCCTGGAAGCATGAGCAGCAGCCCCTCTGCGCAGGGTACTGGGGGTAAGGCGGCTCTTGGCTCTCACCAACTGCTCATACATTTGATACTTTCAATGAACATTCTATTTCTTTAAATAAAAATGAGTATTTAATTGTCTGGAAAGCAGGGATTGTTTTGTTCAATCGGCCCACTTCTGGTGCAGGGCAAGGACACCACCTCCAGGAGGCAACATGGCCCAGGGTCCCCTGAAGGGCAGCGCCTCCCGCTGCACAGGCTCTGGTAGCAGCAGGGAGCCCCGACCTGTCCCCACCGCGGGGCGCAGCCCACCCATCCCACCTTGGCTTTTGGGGTGAGGCCTGGTTTGCATCCTAACTCTTTGTGGCTGAACAAAACCTAAACGTGGTCTGCTTACCAGTTTTTACTTCAAATCAAGTCAGGATCGCGACACCTAGTCAACAACAGCTTGCAGACTCACAGACTCAGGCAGCAGATTTATCTTAAAACAGTGAGGCCTCCAGAGCCCAGTTCCGACATACGGCAGCATCCAGACCCACCTCCCTGGTCTGTGGGGTATCAACTGAAGTGCTGGGCAGGCAGCGGGTCTTCTCAGGGATGGGGCTGCAGAACAGACGGGAAGTAGGGGTAGTGACTGTCAACCCCACAACGGTCATCTGCCACCACCCCGCCCACAGCGCCAGTGCACGGCAACATGCGCCAAGGCAACGCTGCTGAGGCCGGGTGTCCGTCAGGAGACATTACAGCAAGTACCGGTCATACTGCGGTTTCCTATCCAAAACGCCACCCCCAGGACACTGACCCACGCCCTTTGAGGACTGGCTGTTTACACTTAACTGCACCAGGGTCGGCTACCAAGGGAACTGACCCCTACCACGTGCTGAGTGCACGTTTGCCAGGCACAGTGCCCAGACCTCCAAGGGCAGGAGTCAGCGGGCAGGAGACCGCACACAGCAGGCCCAGACATGCCGAGTGCCGCCACCTCATTACCATGTAAGGACTCCACAGAGCCCAGATGCTTCTCCTGAGCTCAGACCCCACAGCTGCCTGGCCTGGGGCCTGTTTGCCTGGCATACGGTCCCAGACGGCCTGGGTCCTCAGGAAGCCAGAACACCACCCAAATTATACCCCAGTTACTCTTGGGTCTCCCACAGACAGACCTGTCTGGTGGCTTTATCGCAGTCTACGCAACCCTGAGGATCGCTTCCCACCTTCCTGGGGGGACCACCCCTACCACTTCACGGCAGACAGGACTCCAGGAAAGCAGGGCCTCCGCCAAGGCCACGAGGTATCCTGAGGCCACCCCGCCAGCATCAGCCCCCTTTCTCTCTCAAGGGACCCAGTCCACGCCTGCCATCCACCCCCAGACTGACCAGCGTGGAGGCTGTGCCGGCCCCACATCACCGCCCTCTGGTCCGCAGAGCTCAGTGTGGCCCCAAGCCTGTGCCCCACCACCACGGACACTCACTAGGTCAGAGGGGCTTCTTGGCGTAACCTCCCTCCCATTATAAAAAAATCGCATGCAGGAGGAGGGACCAGGCTGAGGTCCCCCTGGCCTCAACCCAGCAGGAAGGCTGACCAACATTCAGCGAACCCCCCCTCCTGCTGCCAGCAACACAGCGGGAGGGCCAACCACAAAGCAAGGACGGCCCCCCACCGAGCCCCAGAGAAGACCCCACATCCGCCCCCACATTCCTCACCCTGCCCTCGCCAGACTCCTCCACACTCCACACCACACCTAAGGACAACAGCCAAAATCCTCCTTAGGAGGCCACCCCTGGAGCCTGCACCCCACACCAACCTGCCCAGGGCAGAAGGAACCCATGGCCCGCCAGCAGTGGCCGACACCACCCTGTCGGTCCGCCCTGCAACACATTCTTCTGAGTGAGGAAGCCTACTGCCCACTGGGCACAGAGGCCGGTGTGAGCTGATCAAGGGCATTCAGTTGCCAAAGGACTGCCCCTCAATGCACTCTAATGTACTCATGAGGCGACAGCGCCCAAGCCGCACAGCCTAGCCTGCTTTGCCACACCATCGCTCCATGTGACAAAGATGGCTCTTCAGTCGCCGATGCGCCCGCCAGGCGGGCAATGTAACACCTAGTGAGTGTGACTCGGGGGCAGAACCAGCAAGGACCCTGGGGACAAACATCAGGAACCACTCACTTCACACTGAGAACAAGCACTCCGGGGAAACGCAAGGAGCTGCACCCGGGACTCTCACTTTCCAGGATGTACGTTCTGCTTCGATTTAAAGAACAGGACTATCAGAGTGGAAGCGACGAATCCAGAAACAGCTTCTGAAAGATGGAGAGCTGAAAGCTTTACCGGTTCACCTGAAGATAACTGCTTAACACAGACCCTTCCATCCTAGCCTGGTGCTTGCACAGGCCCTGACGCGCTGGAGATTCATCCTGAACACTCACACACGTCGGCCATGGAGACCAAGATCACGTGCCATCCAGGGTCGCCAGAGGCCGATCTCAGTGCCTGTGCTTCACGCAGTGTGCCGACCACACAGGACTCTCCTCACCGACTGGGCCAATTACATTAAGTGGCATTCCAAGAGCTGAATGGGCCTCACTCCTCATGATGTGAAGCAAGAAGGGAGCTGTGCTCTCTCTCCAAGGGAGATGTGGCGGGGTCACGTCCTGCTGCAGAACAAGTAAGCCTGGTGTTGCGTGGACTTCTCTCCACCTGGGTCACCTCCTGAGAGCACCACCAGTGCCATCAGCGTGGGACGCGCATGTGCAGCACCCCGAGAGCGCGTGTCCACCACCCCAAAACCGACGGCGTGCTCAGGTAAGGCCTCCGCACCCTGGACGCCAGCTGCATGCACAGGCCAGGGCCGACATGCAAGGGGCGTCTGCAAGGCTGGCAGGGTCCAGAGCGAAGGCCCACCAGCAGACAGGCCACCACCTGTGGGGCCCAACCTGCCCAGCAATGTGGGCCTCGACTTCGTTTTCCCAGGAAAGATGGTGTTAATGCTGCTGCAATTTCTCTGCACCAGAAACAACCAAACTTTTCATTGCCAAGAACCATTTTCCCTGTTCACAGATTACATGCCTGGACTTGACTTCGCAGAGTTCAGACTGCAGTGTTTACTACATTTCTTTGCTCTATTTTCTACTCCCATTGTAGGTGGCTTTGCTGAAATACTTGCCTTGCTATTTAGGAAAAAACTCAGAAAACCTAACTTGCTCTTTGTAAAGGAGAGAACAATGTGCAGTAGACAGTGAGCCCACCTCTCCTGCAGCTGTCCAGCGGTGAGCATGCCAACCTCCACGGGCGGGAGCAGCTGGAGAGAGAGGGCGAGGAGGGGGGAGGAGAAAGGGGGCCTGCAGGACCTATCAGGGCAAGTTCCACACACTGAGCTCAAGCAGTACCCACAGCTCGGGCCTTGGAACAGGGGAAATGGCAACCGGAGACTGGGGAAAAGGGTATCCAGCACAGCCGGGGGCTATCGGAGAGGCAGCCCCAGAAAAGGAGTCCAGACGGCAGCAAGGAGTCCCGGAGCCCCTCTGAGAGGCGGCCTGGCACAGACGCAGTCCTGGGTGGGCTGCTTCCCGGCTCTGCTGACAACGTGGCCGGTCCCTCCCACACACAGAGCCCCCAGATGGAGAGGCTGTGCAGTGAGCCACCAGCGGTCTCCCTAAAGGGGCTCATTCCCATTCTCTAGGTCAGACCCCGTGCCACAAAACAAATCCGCGCCCACTGTAAAAGGCCATCTGATGAATTTTAACAAAAGCTTTTATTTCAGGTAAATACCTTCCCCCCAAACACTAACTACAGTTTCAAGGAATGAAAGTATAAACAAGGAGTAACTTTTGAATTATTCTACTTTCCAATTTTGCCTGATTAAAGAGCTTAGTCCGGGCCTAAAAGATCTGACGGAGACTGCTCTGCCAGGAACGCACTGAGGAAGTCGGGTGGAAGGCCGTGAGTGAGGACAGCTTACCTGCGGCATGCGTGCACACCCTCATCCACACACACACACACACACACGCATGGGCAGAAGACACGTCTGCACGTGTATTTTTCTAAAATAATAGACACACTCAGGTTTCCTTTATTTAGACACCAGCCCTCTCTGGCCCCCAGAACTGTCATCACAGATCTACGCACAAGCTTCATCATACAATCACTTGGTGACACTTCCTTTACAAAGTTAGGTTCTATGTGGGCAGATGAGAGCAGTTTAAACAGTAAGCCAGAATTGAGAGGAAACGTACGATGTGCGGGCTTTCCATGATAAGAACTCTGCAACACAGACCTCACAGGTGCTTGGAAGCTAGGAAATGAGAACTGTTAAGCCCACCATGCCAGACGGGACCATCCCCCCAACCACCACAGACATGTATCCTGCATGTCTGCAACTTTTCAGCATAGATACACAGGTCGCTGTGCCAACCACATGCAAGGAACCCAAGGTATGCCTCCATCAGCCTTATGAGCAGGCCCTGGCCGGGAGGCTACCCACCAGACATGCCGGCTCTGACTGAACAGGTATGGGAAAACATGGCCTGCTGACGACCATTTCCAGCCTGGACTGACCCATCACATCAAGAAAATCCAGAATTTACCCAGAAGTTTGGCAGGAAGGTAATTTTCCAGCAATGTTTCAGAAGTACCCCTAAATCTTCATTCAAAACAACCCAATTCCACTTACTTCAACAGAACTGTGTCCTAAGACAAGAAGCTGTCACACATTTTGATTTCACAAAGGTTAGAAACCTCACCTCTTCATAGAAAAGAATGATTGGACCTTCTTGTTAACTAAAACCCATGTGGACTCCTCTAAAGCAAGGAACTGGGACAGTGACCAACAAAATGAGCCATGACACATGTGTGACTGAGAAAAAGCAAGTTAGGTAATTATTTTAGTGCCTCTGAAAACAGAACATCAAACACACTGGGACAGGCAAATACACGTGTGAAAAGCATGGTGACTGGGACGACCTTGGCAACTCCAGGGTCAGCAGCTGGTGGCATGCGTGCACAGGGCAGAGCCGCTTCTACCACCAGACACAGAACTGCCACGTGGAACAGGGCCTACCGGTCCTGTCAGCATTCCCGCCACGTAGCCGCCCTCCTCAGGCACATGATGCATGCCCCTTTTCATCTAAAGTTGCAGTACAGCTACACCCAACTATGCCTACTGACCGTTAGTTTCTTCAGCAGTTCAAAATAGAGTCAAGTAACACTCCGAAGAAAATATGTGCAAAACTAACAAGTGGTTCTGGAATCTTCCGGCATTTGGTTCACGTCACACAGGAGCCAGCCATGAGAGCAAGCGGCAGGCACCTGGCCTGATTCCAGGTGGGTCTGGTCCGGACTGCCACAGAGAGAACCCGAAGTGCTCCACTCCCTCAGGGCTGAAGTCACCACAGGCAACGACCCGAGTTGTTTTAAACAAGGCAACAAGACAAAGCCATGGACCTGAAGGACAGCCCCCCACCGCGGGCTGCCGCCCTTCCAAAGCCAGAGGCGCGACAGGACGCGCCGTGGCACAATAAAGACACTTGGGAGCTGCGGGCTTCAGTTGCCGCCTTGTCAAGAGAAACATGCTCAGAGTGAAAATACTCCACTTTACCAAAATCTGTCTTTATTCAAGTGAACGAATCGCGAGAGCACTACCCAAAACCTACTGGCGGCGGCTGCCGCCCACTCCACTTGCCTACTTCCAGTCAGGCGAGTGCCAGCTTCATGCTGCCAGTTGCTGCCCTCAGGGCCGCTGCCCCAGTCACCCCCACGCACAGTAAGCGTGGCCTTAGCACAAGACAGACTACAGATTTCAGTGCTTCCAGCCAACGGGTCGTTTCAGTAAACTTCTTCTGAGCAGCAAGGAACAAGAATTTTTTCAGAAACCTTTGAACTGGATACAAACATTGGCAGTAGACACGATCAATAAATATCGTACAATTTCTCGAATGAAAAAGACCTCCCCAATACAAATTCCTTTCCTAAAGACATTCAAATACCCTGACCCAAGTGGAGACACAGTCCTCTAATCCCTCAGGGTCAGGCTGGCCCACGGGAGGGGTGTGAGGTCCCGTGCAAAGGGGGTGGGGCTAGGGTGAGAAAGCAAACTCCCTCTTCATTCACACTCACGGAGAACTTCAAGTAAAGGAACCCCTGCCCAGAGGCCTCTCTGTGCACACACCCGGCATCTGGGAGCTCCGCAGTCAGCAGTGGCCATGGCAGCCACGAGCCACGAACACAGCATGGCCGCATTTGTGCTCCACCTGGCATCCTGCATGTGCCGGGAGCAAGGGAGGATTTCCTTTTGTTGTCTAGAAGCCTCTTTAAAAAGGTCTGTGGTTTTGCACGCTTCGTACCCAAATGGGTGAAAATAATAAATACCAATCCTGCTGCATACCCTCCAGGTCCCACCAGCACGAGTGTCATTTGCGAGTCTGGGTCTTCTTTGGCACCGCGGGCCGCTTGGGCTGCCACAGGTGGTTATGAATTGTGAGGGCGTCCACACTGACAGACATGGTTTTGGCTGGGATCAGGTTGAACTGTTTCCGGTCTGAGCTGTATTTATACAGCCTGTCGATCATCTTCTTGGTGACACTCTTTGGCCCCGTGCCAGTTAATTTGCTGATGTCTTCAGTATCAGGATAGTAGCAATAAAGCGCCCGGAACTGGCAGCCCGCATCACGGAACAGGATGATGTAGTGATTGGCATCACACTTCTCCAGTTCCTATGTCGAGGGACAGAAGCAGTAGAGACAATGAGAACCTCAACATGGCTGCACAGGTCAGACTCAGCCCTGAGCAGCTGCACCCAAGGAGGCTACGGCTCGGCAACCTCCTGCTCTGGGGCAACTCGCTTTACACCACCTAGGCTTCCTGCCCTGAAATTACAAGCTCCCTATCAGTATGAAATCTATGCCATAGGGATTCTACTTAAGTCCAGTGTGCAAGGAAAAAATATGCTTTTAAAATTAAGGGCAAAATCACACGAAAAGATGTTCAACATCATTGGCCATCAGAGAAAAAAACCTAAACCACGATCAGATCCCATGTCATACCTACTAGGATGGCTGGACTCAGACAATAACAAATGTACAGGAACTGGAGCCCTCATACACTGCTGCCGGACATAAAGATGCTGCAGCCACTGTAGAAATCAGCTGGAAGCTGCTCAAAATGTTGAACACAGCGTCAGCATGTGCCTGAGTGAGTCTTCTCTTCGGTGTGTACCCAGGAGAAACTGGAGTGTGCATCCCACAAAAACCTGTGCTGAACGCTCACAGCAGCGTCACTCCCAAGCCACTGTCCATCGGTGATGAACGGATAAATGAACGTGGTCGACCCATGGGATGGGACGCTGCTTATCCCCTGAAGGCGTGAGGCACTAACAGGCCATGGCATGGATGAACCTCAGAGACATCGTACTGAGTGAAGAGCCAGCCCCCAAAGGCAACACAGCGCATGACTCCGTTGTATGAACTGTTCAGGAAAGGCAGACCCACAGAGGCAGGCGGCAGAGCGATGGCAGCCAGGCTTGGGCAGACGGGGGGGAGGTGGCATGGGCGGTGGCTAACAGGTCTGCAGTTTCTTCCTGGGATGAAGAAATGTGCTGGAAGCAGAGCGCAGGCGGGGCTGCACTAGTCTGGGATAGACTGAACACCAAGTGGCGTGCTCTGAAAGGACGGGTTTATGGTATGGGAATGCTACCTCAAAAACTCTCACAAAATCATCTTCTCAACTTTGAAATATTTTTGTGCCAATTATTTTTTACGATAGGTCCTCCTCCTGCTTGAAAATATCAAGCTAACTTTCTACCCCAGCAGTTCTTAAACGTGGTCTGGGGCCTCCTGAAAGAAATCCTCCCAGGGCTCCACATAGGTGGAGTTTTCCCAAGCCTACATGACGTGGTCTTGTGACACACTGGACAGAGAAGTGGGTGCACAATGGCAGGGCCACAAGGATTTGTACACCTAAGAACAATGCCACTCTTCTCATTATTTTTGCTTCAGGAAAGTCATTTTTCATACTGTTTTGTCAGCATGTGTTATTATTTTAAGTTAGTAAATATATATTTTAAAAGATTAAACAGAAAAAGCAGAACCCAAAACTATATATATGCTATTGACATCAACTATGTAAAAATAGGTTTAAACATGAGCATTACATGCAAATAAGTAGCACCTCCCAGCCCTGCCCCAGACCCCCCTCCGTCGGGGACCATTCCCAGACCCCGCCCCACCCTCTCTTGGGGGCAGAAGGTGGGGTGGGGACTGGCCCTCCTGCACACACAGCTGCATCTGCCGGTCCATTCGAAGCGAAGCAAGGAGTCCCTCTGGCCACAGAGGCTCCCCGGGAGCAGCCCGTGCCCCTGGCCACCCCCAGTGCCCTCGCTGCAGCCCCCATGCTCCCAGGGGCCCCTGCAGCTGGGTGGTCGCTCCCTCCTGGGGCTTCTGTTTCTCCAGTGGTCCCGGTTCACAGCTGCATCGCACCTGACGAGCCCCCAAGCCTCCTGTCAGTCCCTTCTCCACCCCCGCCATCACCGCCTTGGGCATCTCACAGGCACAGGAGCTCTGGTCCTCTACCTGCAATCACACTGCCCTCAGCTCCACCCTAAGTCTACTGGTTTTCTCTTTTAAAAAAGTCACTCACTTCCCACTACCCCCTCACCCCTTGCTGACCCTCAGCCTCTGTCCCCTCCTGTCATCCTGCCCTGGACCAAAAGGGCTTCTCATTGAAGGGCCCAGCCCTGCCCCACATACAACACCCCTCTGGTTCCATGGGTCTGAACCTGGCCCTCCCTGGAAGACAACCCAGCTCCCAGAGAGAGCCCCAGGAGCACCGTGTGGCCTCAGACACGACACCCGGCTCTCTGTCAGGCCCCGACACCAAGACCCAGGGCTATTAGCAAGAGGGTGATTTAAACTGACACACAGTGTATGCCTTACTTACCTAAAATAATTGTTTTCTTTTAGGAAAAAAACCTTCATTTACAAACACCTTTCGTTCTACATAAAAACTCAGTGGTGGAATCAATACTTGCCTCTAATATCGAGTTCTTGTGGGGTTCATTCACTTTCCCCGCCAGACAGCAGTGGGATATCGCATTGTGGATGATGGGCTTGTTGGACTTGCTGCTGGGCTCCTTGAAGAGCTTGGGACCTGCGAGAGAGGCCAAGGCGTGACATCAGGGCTCAAGGCACGCACGCCCAGCACCAGCCACTCCTCCAACCGAGCCCCGGGGCAGGCTGGGCAAGGGAGCCAGATCCTTTTGAAGATGAGAAGTAACAGCCACTCCAAATCTATCTGAGAGAATTCTGAGTTATAAATTTTAAATTAACTCAGGAAAAGACTAATTTAGCCCCTAATTAATTTTTTTAAAAACAAAAAGACCTAAAAAATAGTGAGCAGAGAATAACTTTTAAAAGTCTACATTTCCAAAGTGCCCAGGTCACACTACTTGGCCACGAGCCTGCACAGACACAGAGGTACATCACCCGCAGCTGAAGCAGTTAGAGTACCAAGAACTGTCTGCCCCAAGCCACGGGCAGGGCCTCCCTGTAAGCTGTGATGTGCACCCAGGGCCTCCACGGAGAACGGGGCTGTTACCTGTGTACTCGGCCACCGAGGCGAGAGAGGACGCTGCAGACGCTGTCTCCCAGTCCCTGTCCGTGCTCCTGCTGGGGTTGCGGCTTAATATGGGCAAGGCTTCCAGTGACTCAACTCTGCTCAAGAAAAGGAACAAAAGGCGGGATAGGGGAGGTCGCAGGTGCACCTCCTCTTACCCACAACTGGCTGCTGGTGGCTGAATTCCACCCTGATGGACCAACCCGCATCACTAGTGCAAGATGGACCATGAGCAGGGGTGGACTTCCAGCAACAGCAGGGCCACGCATCAGTCTGCTCCCTGTGGAGTGCACAATCACAAACTCTGGGCAAAACACAGAAATCCAACACTTCAGGCAGGCACTGCAGAGTGACGGAGCGGACTGAGTGGAGGGGAGGCAACCTCCACCTGAGAAGAGACACCCTCACACTGCCTGGAAGCTGGGGGGCGGGTCTGGGCCAAACAAGGTCACAAGACCTGGGAAGGAAGGAGGTGGCACAATGGGTCAGGCCCAGAACCCTGGGTCTC